AGGGTGCGAGGGCCAAGGCAGCCAGGGCTGCAAGGGCCAGCCCCTTGCACGAATTATGTGTATCTGGTATCTAGTATAAACATAACAGAATGTGATTCAGCCTTTCAAAGGAATGAAATTCTGACACATACTACAACATGGATAAATTTTAAGACATTATGCTATGCAAAATAAGCCAGACACAAGAGAGCAAAAACTGTATGAGTCCGCTTATTGGGAAAATTCACAGACACACTAAATAGACAGAAGTTACAAGAGGCCAGAAAAAGGTGGGGATGTGGAGTTACTGGTTAATGGGTACAAGGTTCCTGCTTGGAATGATTAAAAAGTTCTGAAAATTGAGAGCAATGATGTTTACACAACATTGTGAATATACTCAATTCAACTGTACACTTAAAATGATTAAATGTAAATTTTATGTTATATGTATTTTATACACAATAAAGAACAAATGCTAAAAATAGGCTCGAGGCAGAGCCTTCTACGTGCACCTTGGTGGTAGAGCAGTGGCATGGAATGCAGCCCACAGCCAACCAACTAGTACACAAATACTAGACAAACACCAGCAGTTTCAACATTGCTGGGCAAGATACACTGTCACCCTGAGTTTAGCAAAAAGCACTGGCATCCAAAAAATCGCTTCTAAGTCCTCTAAAGGCTTGGTTTCCTGGCTTCCTCTCAATCACCCCCATCTGTCCACAAGAATAGAACCAAAGAGCCAGAACAGTAAAAATCTGAATGAAGTCCAAAACCAGGGGCTGCCTGTTGGCAGGTTACTAGTCAGAAGCTAATAAAGACTTCAGCAGTGAAAAAGCCTTGTTCTCAAAGAGTCAACAAGCTTACAGACACATTATCTTTCTCTCCCTCTTTAAATCTTTTTATTGAAGTACTAGAGGCCCGTACACAAAGTTGTACAGGGGTGGGGTCCCTCGGCCGGGTCAGTGATCAAGACCAATCATGGATATTTCCCAACCCGATCAGGGCCCGGGGTCGATTGGGGCAGGCCAGCCAGGGGGAGGGAATGTGGAAGTTTGGCTGGCTGACCCACCCCAATTGGCCCTGATCGGGGCGACCAGCAGGGGAAGGGGCTGCCCCATCAGAGCAGATTGGGGTGGGCAGACCCAGAGAAGGGGCCATGGAAGGTTGGCCAGCCAGCCCACTCCAGTCAGGACCAATGGGGGCAGGCCTGGGGAGGAGGGGCTGCGCTAAGTTGGCGGTTGGCCAGGAGGAGGTGCCTCGGGCTAGCCAGGGGGAGGGGCTGCAGGAGGTTGGCCGGCCACAGGAGGTTGGCTGTGGGAGAGCACTGACCACCAGGGGGCAGCTCCTGCATTGAGCATCTGCCCCCAGTGGTCAGTGCATGTCATAGCTACTGGTCATAACAGTCAGGCTTTGATAGATAGATAGACAGATAGATAGATAGATAGATAGATAGATAGATAGATAGATAGATGGATGATGTAGAACAATGTCCATAGTCCTTCACATACAAAGAATCCCAATCACAAATGCAAAACCCAGGGATATGAAAGCTGACTGTAAATTTACTGGGGGGGGGGGGGGGGGGGGGGGGGGGGAAATCCATGTGTAAGTGGACCCACACAGTTCAAATCTGCTGCTCAAAGGTCAACTGTATATAGCAAGCAAGGTAGTAATAAATGACATACAGAAAAAATAAAGCAGAAAAAAATGAATCTAGATTAGTGGTTGCAAAGGAATTAGAGTGAAGAGAGGACATAAAGAAACTTTCAGGGGGTGACAGACACTGTCTCTTGACTGTTGCAGTGATTTCACATTGGACAATTAAAAGGGATACAGTTTACTGTATGAAAAATATAGCTCAATAATGTGTTTTTCTTAAATAAAGCAGTAAGTGGAGAACTAAACCTTTATAGAGAGGTGGTCAGTGAAAACCTTATTATGTGATCTCAGGAAAGTGGAAAATCTATACCAATATCTGGGGGAAGACCAATTAGGAGAAAGGAATACCAAATGGACAGATTCTAAGAGGAAGCATGCCTGGCATGATCTAGAATAAATAAGCCATGAGAATATGTGCCCAGCTAAAGGAGACTGAGTAAGGAAGAGCACTGGTAACCCGATTGAGATAGAAAGCCACTAGAGTGAGATGAGAACCATGAATACATTTTCTGATTTATGCTTTAACAGAATTACTCTACTGATACACTTCCATGGGCTGAGAGTAAGCTAAAAAGCGATGCAGAGTGATCAGTAAGGAGAATGTTATTATAGTAACTTAGAAGTGATAGTGATCTAAACATAATGAGCCATGGTAAGAGGTAGTCAAATTTTATATATTTTAAAATTAAACCCAGCAATATTTAATGATGAATTGGATGTGGAAGTGATAAAAAGAGAGGAGGATATAAACTGGAAGAATGGAGGTGCCACTAACTGAGATGAGGAAAAATGCAGATGAGGAAACAGGTTTGGAAGGCATATGAGGAACTTAGTTTGGAGCATATTCCATTTTTTTATTTCTTTCCACACTTAAGTAATTTTTCATATATATATTTATGTTATAAATATATAAATGAAATTTAGAAGAGAAATCCAGTTTGGAAATATAAATTTGTTAGGAGCTAGCCAACACATTATTTATAGTGGTTTAAATGTACTAATTTGATGAAAATCATTTTGATGAAAAAGAAACATTTTGTCACTTTGGCTAACAAGGTCAAAGAAAAACCATAGAGATTTAAAATTAGATTTAAAAATATCTGTGACAATATATCCAACATTCAGATGGTGTGTAAATTACTTAACTCAAAAGGCATATATTATTTATAAAACCCAGTTCAAAAAATATTAGGAATTACTATAAAAGTTTTCTAGAAATGTCTTAAATATGTATATTTTCATAATCCTATCCAAATGATAAATACTTAAGACAAAAAATAATCACTACTGCTATAATAAAAAATGAATAGTCTGGCCCTGGCTAGTGTGGCTCAGTTAATTGGGCATCATCTTGTATACCAAAACTTCACCAGTTCAATTCCCAGTCAGGGCACATACCCAAGTTGTTGTGGGTTCGATCCCCAGTTGGGGTGCAGACAGAAGGCAGCCAATTGTTTTTTTCTCACATTGATGTTTTTCTCTCTCTCCCCTCGTGTCCCGTGTCCCTTCCTCTCTCTCTAAAATCAATAAAAACATGTTTTTTAAATGAATAGCCTGTACAAATTACTGGTGAAATATCTAAGTTTATTTATCAAACCTTGCTAATCTATCAGATTTTTTATCTAGGAACAAAAGGAGGAAGCCCATATAACAAAATGGTTAAGAGAATGGACTTTAAGGTCAGACACACCAGTCAACAAAGGCAAACGCATTATTTTATAATAACTGAATAAAAGATCCCCCAAATATATGTATTTTTAAAAAAGAATTACATTTTTTAAAGGAATTATATTTTAAATTAAAAACAAAGTCATTATGGAACTACAAACAATGAAAAATCCTAAGAAATTCAAGAAGGGAATATAAGAGAAAACCTGACAGCTAAAAAATATCCTCATTGCCGAAACCAGTTTGGCTCAGTAGTAGAGCATCAGTCTGTGGACTGAAAGGTCCCAGGTTTGATTCCGGTCAAGGGCATGTACCTGGGTTGCGGGCACACTCCCAGTGGGGGGTGTGCAAGAGGCAGCTGGTCGATGTATCTCTCTCATCGACATTTCTAACTCTCTATCTCTCTCAATTCCTCTCTGTGTAAAATCAATAAAATATTTTTTTTAAAAAAGATCAAATAAAAAAAATTAATGGTGGGCTCAATGACAGTGATAGCACATTAGGATCTTTAGGAATAATAAATACATTACAGTATTTAAGATACATTTTCTTCTATGCCTGATTACATATAAATACAACTTGATGAGACAGTTTTGTTCTTTGTTGTTTAATCTCAATTCCTGGTCTTTATTTAGCATCTCTAAATAGAGATGCTAAATAAAGATTCTGACCAAATGCCAAGAATTCTGAGAGTTAACCAGCCGGGACCGGTTTGGCTCAGTGGATAGAGCGTCGGCTTGGGGACTTGAAGGGACCCCGGTTCAATTCTGATCAAGGGCATGTGCCTTGGTTGCGGGCATATCCCCAGTAGGGGGTGTGCAAGAGGCGGCTGATCGATGACTCTCATCGATGTTTCTAACTCTCTATCTCTCTCCCTTCCTCTCTGTACAAAATCAATAAAATATATTTTTAAAAAAAGAATTCTGAAAGCTAACTAAAATGGAGTAGTGAGCCAAAACCGGTGTAGCTCAGTGGATAGAGTGTCAGCCTGGGGACTGAAGGGTCCCGGGTTCGACCCTGGTCAAGGGCATATAGCTTGGTTGTGGACACATCCCCAATGGGGAGTATGCAGGAGGCAGCTGGTTGATGTTTCTAACTTTCTATCCCTCTACCTTCCTCTCTGTAAAAAATCAATAAAAATATATTTTAAAAATTAATAAATAAAAGGGAGTAGTGGGCAACTTCGGTACAATCAACTTATTGCCCCATTTCAAAAAAATTTTTTGGTTAATCCTCACTGGGGGATATTTTTTCCTTTGATTTTAGAGAGAGTTGGAAGGGAGAAGGAGGGGGAAAGAAGGGAGAGAGAGATAGAGAAACATGGATGTGAAAGAGCCACATCAATCGGTTGTCTCCTGCATACACCCCAATCAGGGCAGCGAACCTACAACCCAGAAACAAACCCAAGACCTGTTGGTTCACAGCCGACAAGGCCAACACTTCAACCACTGAGCTACGCCGGCCAGGGCTTATTGCCCCATTGTGTTCTTCTGCCGTAGCTGCCAGAACGCCGAGGCTGGTTTCCAGACTCTATGCACAATTGGAAGGATCTAAATATTTAGGTGATTCCCTCTCTGAAGGTTCTTTTACTATTTCTGCAAACAAAAGTATTGCATAAAATAAATTTGAATGTATTGCTAATATGTAAGAGAAAATATAGTTCAACATGGGAAATTAATTGAAGTTGAACTCACCTGTCCACTTTTCCCTATTTCCAGCTCCATTATAGCAACAGGGTTGTGTATCTGAGCAGAGTGCCTCGACTGTGATTTGCCATCAATTCTCCAGCTTAGGCCCCGAAGCCCACTGTCCCAGCGGCTCTGGTTCATCAGGCTCTCTCGGATCTTTGTCTTATGACTCTTCCAGAATTTCGAAATAACAGCAGCTTGATCAGATGTGATCCCTCCTTGCTTTTTAGTTTGAGCAGTCAAGAATGCTTCCAGCTGATTGAAATCCATGTCTGCAGATGCAACAGACTGTAATGACAGAAAAGGTAATAATTTTGAATTTGATAGATAACTAGAAAATGGTAGCTTCTTAACTATAGATCATATTTTGAGTGATTCATAATCAATGAATAAGATTCACAAAAGGGTCATCAAGTGACAATAATGAGAATAAACTCTTCAGAAGTATAAAAATACCGGGCCCGGAACAGCCGGGTCAGGAGCAGCCAGGCCCAGAGCAGCAGCAGCCAGGCCCAGAGCAGCTGGCTCCGAAGCAGCAGCATCCAGGCCCGAAGCAGCCAGGCTGGGAGCGGCCAGGCCTGGAGCGACAGCAGCCAGGCCCAGAGCAGCAGCAGCCAGGCCCAGAGCAGCCAGGGCGGGAGCATCCAGGCCTGGAGCTGCCTGGCCCGGAACAGCTGTGCCCAAAGCAGCCAGGCCTAGAGCAGCTGGGCACGGAGCAACAGAGGCCAGGCCTGGAGCAGCCAGGCCCAGAACAGCTCACCCACCTGCCCATGCCCCAGGGCTGCCTCTCAGACATGGCTGGAAACTTTTGGAGGAACTTGAGGGTCTGCTGAATCAAGTGATGAAGGCTTAGGTCTGGATGTGTTGAGTTGTTGTAGCACTGGGATGATGATCTGTGCCTTGTGTGGGGTCTGGATGAGATTGGTTGATCTATTTGGATGTGTCTTTTGTTTGAAGTGTATCCTTGGGAATGTGGAGGTATTATTGAGAAAATGCTAAGTAACTGATTTGCTACCTGAAAAATTTAAAGTTCTGAAAGTTTAAGGTCTCTTGCCAAAAAGAGGTTTTAAAGCTAACACCTTAATTTTAATGGAGAAAGGGGAGGACAAGCCCTTCCCACCCAGAACAGGTAATCCAATTCCAGCCAGCAGCTATCTTTAAACAATGTGTTCATTTACATTTGAATGGCTACGCCTTTTGATAGCCCAAGGGCAAGTTTACATGTAAACAAGTTTGCTTCTCTGTTCCCAGGGCAGAAAAAACAAGGTTTAAAATTATTAGATTTTAAAATTTATTCTTAAAAATATAAGTTTATTAATTTAAAAAAAAAAAAGGAAATTAAAAAACCTGATGAACAATATTAACTGTTGATTATAACAGAATCAGAGATACGGGAGGGGAGTGGACTGACAACTCTTGGGGAAAAGGGGAGTGGTGGAAGCGGGAAGAGACTGAACATAAACTGTGCACCTATGGATGAGGACAGTGGGGGGTGGGGAAAGGGCAGAGGGTGGGGTGGGAACCTGGTGGGGGGGGGGGGGGAAATGAGGAACTTTTGTTATATAAACAATAAAGACTGATTTAAAATAAAATAAATAAATAAATAAAAATATTCCCTTTGCAAATATCAAATATCAGAAAAACTACTGTTAAAAATTTCATGCAATTTAAATTCTAGGTCAATAACTATAAACTAATTTTAAAAATCTAGTACTATAATGGTGCAATATAATAATAAAATAAAAATCCTATATAATAAAAGCCTAATATGCTAAGTGTCTGATCATTCATTTGACTGTTTGACCAGTCATTATGATGCACACTGACCACCAGGGGACAGATGCTCCAACTGATAGGTTAGCTTGCTGCTGGGGGCTGGGTGAAACGGGCCAGACACACCCTGGAGCCCTCCCATGTCCTTCCCTGGCACAGATCAAGCACCAGTGGAGACCGTTGGCCTGGCATGTGGGGATTGGGCCAAAACCGGCTCTCTGGCATCCCCCAAGGAGTACCGGATTGCAAGAGGATGCAGGCAAGCCAAGTGACACCACCAGTGCATGAATCAGTGCACTGGGCCTCTAATTTTAAAATAAGAGAGTAAAATTAATTAGCTCTCTGATGAAATATGACTTAATTTCAGTGCCTAGATAACTAGGCTTGGTTTAACATATTAAAACTGTACAATGCGTTGGCCATAATAAGCACTAATTAAATTTCATTAAATGAATCATTATTTTAGCTTTGTAGTCTATCTTCAGCCAAATAGCTCATTCATAATAACATTACTCTGAAATTGTATACTACTTTATGCTTTTCCATAAATTTCAAAACTTAATGCCATTGCTGCTCTGAGAGCAGTCAGCAGCTAAACTGCAGTGGAAAGTCATTACAGGGCTGAGGCAATAGAGCTTTGAAGAGGACAGTGATGATCAATGATTTGGTCTCAGAACGAGCTCTCCCCTGCATCTTCTTGGGTATGTCCGTACCCTCTCCTGACCATTGGGGCTGGCATGAGCTCCAAACCACACAAATCAGAGTGCTCTCCTTTCTTTGGGAATAATGATTGATTCAAATAAACCTCCCAATTTCGAGCAGAAAGAGAAATGGTCTTGCCTCTAGTTGTCATGGTACCAGAAGGATATAAGGTTAGGATGCAGACAGCCACCACTGATCTTTTGGCAAAGGCCTGATTGCAAAATATAAAGAATGAAGCCAAGTAGAGATGAAAGTAGGTTCCAATGGAGCAATATTCCTGTTCTATAATCCCCTACTTCCTGCAGACTTCCTTCAATTCTATGTGTTATTTCAGCATTCTTTCTATAGCACCAAAAGTCTCCTTTCACTGTTCAAGATAGTTTAAACTGTTTTCCTATTATTTGGAACCAAAAATATTGACTAAACTTGAGCAATAGCAGTAAGAACAGAGAAATTATAAAAGCAGACAGCATACAGGTAGACTATAGGTACAGGAAGTGGGACTGTGGCTGAAAAACAAACATGCTGCCTTTTATTCCTCCATTAATATAGAGAAATTTTATAATCAGTATCTTTCTGATTAAAGATATTTCATATTTCAATTCAATAAATATTTATTGGATAACTGCCTATATAGCAGGTATGAGGACCCAAAATCTCTAGCTATGCTACTCAATAGAAATATTAATTTATATAACATACAATAAATTAAGTCAAATTATTTCCTCTGACACTTTGCTTCACAGTATTACAATTCAGGTGACTTGTATCATTCTTTTCCTCAAATCGTATCAAAATATCCATTCTGATATAACTTCACTTGCGACAGATGTTATTTTGGTTGGCTTCCAGTCAATAATATCTTAAACTGGGATCAATTCACCCAAATTTTTTTAAAAATCAAAAATTAAATGAGGAACTGATTTTGGTTTGAGTTCAAAGTCAACAATTTTCATCTAATTCAAGAAATGCTTGAATAGCTACCATGGAACAGAAACTGTTCAAGGTATCCGCTGTTCAAGAAACATTCATCTAATTCAAGAAATGCTTGAATAGCTACCACGGAACAGAAACTGTTCGAGGCATCCACCTCCATATACTGGGAGCCAAAGCTTGCAACCTGATGCTTACTTATCCTTGATTCTTCCCTCTCCTCCAAACTTGAATTAGTGGCTCTCAATACTGGTTGCACATTAAAAGCATGAAGTACATTTAAGAAAATATTAATGCCCAGACTCCATTTCAGAAATTCTAAAGTGAGGCCCAGATATTGGTATTGTTAAAAAGCTTTCCAAATTATTCTAATGGGCAACAAGGCCAGAAATTGATGCCTATAACCTTTTAATCACCAAATTCTGTTATAAATCTGAAATAATGTCTAATAATATGTCCTCTCTGCTCTGTCCCTACTACCTCAGTAACATGAACCTGAACCAAACTTGTAGCTCCTCAAGTCTATCTTCTATACCCCATCTAAGTGATCTATATAAAATAACAATAGGATCCTGTCACTTCTCAATTTAAAGCTTTCTAACAGCTGGCTATTACCTATTGCAGTAATTTATCAGCATGTTATGAAACATTCTATGAGGTATAAATTATAAGTAATGTTATTTGTAATAGTAAAAATATTGGAGTTTGTAAAGACTTATTTTTATAAGCATAAACTGAAGGTTTTTCAAAGTTATCCTTATATTAACAACTTCCTCCCTTGTTTTAATTGTTCCCTCGAATGGGAGGTGAAAAATACAAACACAAGATCATGCATGTATCTGTTAAGTGTGTCACAGAGGAATAAAATATTGAAAACTGATCATCTAGGCTTTGAGTTCTCAACAACATAGCAATCCTCCCCATCCTCCATCCACCCTCCCCATCAAGGCACTTGAGAAATGTTTGAGAGCTATGCTTGGTTTCATGGTGATTAGAGTGCTTCTGGCTTCTAGTAAGCAGGAACTAGGGCTGATAGACATCATCCTACAATGCTCAAGAAAACAGGGGCTGGCAAGTTTTCTGTAAAGGTACTACCATTTCTGTTACATATTTAAAAGGGTAAAAGCTGCCCTGGCTGGTTTGGCTCAGTTGATAGAGCGTCGGCCTGCAAAATAAAAGGTTCCAGGTTCGATTCCGGGCAAGGGTACATGCCCAGGTTGTAGGCTCGATCCCCAGTGGGGGACTTGCAGAAGGCAGCTGATCCATGATGGATGTTTCTATCTCTCTCTCCCTCTTCCTCTTTAAAATCAATAAAAATATATTTTTTAAAATAAATAATTTTAAAACTGTTCTTGGCTCCTGGGTTTTACAAAAATAGGCAGTGTGGCCTGCAAGATGTAGTTTGCCAACCCCTGCTCAAGTACAACCTGAATTATGCCCAGCCAGCATGGTTCAGTGGTTGAGCATCGACCTATGAACCAGGAGGTCACGGTTCAATTCTCGGTCAGGGCACATGCTCAGGTTGCAAGCTCAATCCCCAGTGTGGGGTATGCAGGAGGCAGCCCATCAATGATTCTTTCTCATCGCTGATGTTTCTATCTCTCTCTCCTTTCCTCTCTGAAATCAATAAATATGTATTTTTTAAATTTTATTTTATTTGTTTTAAAGAACAACCTGAATTATAGACCAATGGGTATGGTAATTTAGGCATCATTAATGTCTTAAAAATTCAAAGTCATTAAAATCCATGGTAAGCTACATTCCATTTCTTCTCAAATTGTCATATTTCTGAAATATAAACAAACACAGAGTAAAAAAATGACTAAGTTTAAAAAAAGATTTTATAAATGTGTATCTAACAAAAACAAATGTCACAAAGAC